GTACTGACACAATAATTTTACCTTTGTATAAACGTATTTATTTATTGCACCTAAATAACCTAAAGCTACTTCAACCACTACTTGAGTTGTTAGGTCACTCAAAAATTGACCTTCTTCAAAATTGTTATCAGAGTATGACTCTATATAACAGAGCTAACTACTGACATAATAATTATACCTTTCTTTAAACGTATCTATTTATTGCACCTAAATAACCTAAAGCTACTTCAACCACTACTTGAATTGTTAGGTCACTCAAAAATTGACCTTCTTCAAAATTGTTATCAGAGCATGACTCTATATAACAGAGCTAACTACTGACATAGTAATTTTACCTTTGTATAAACGTATGTATTTATCGTACCTAACCTAAAACTATTTCAACCACTACTTCAACTGCCCCCTCGAAAATTACCCTTATTCAAAATTTTTATCAAAGCATGAGCTTATACGGCAGAGCTTTATTTCGAACGGCAAAAGGATGCGGTGCGGGTAAATAAATCCGTCTCATCGCCAGAGAATTTACAGGGCGTGGTGGTAGCACACCGGTGTGCAATGGCGTAGGAACGATGCGCCGTTGGTGAAACCAAGGACCGCATTGCAGAGGGTGTCAGATAGAAGGTCTCTGGTCTCTGCTTTCAATCGAGCATGCCCTCCCGAAGTCGATAGTCGCGTTCTAATAACGCTTCTCTTCTTCGTCACAACTATAATTCCTTTTTGAACCATGAATTTTTCTTTTGGATATTTTGAATTGTGGTTATTTGGAACCTTCTCCTTTCTTCTTACTGCGCCACGTCTCTGGGGACGGATTAAACTTCACGTATTTCTTCGTCTAACGTGTGACGGTAATTATATTTAACTGTGGCGAAAGTTTGTGTGAAACTGTAAATATTCTTTTGGTATTCATTTTTATTTTTAGCAGTAATTTAGATGGAAGTTTTGTTGGTCTGCGAAGACTATGAAAGCGTTGTGGAGTGTAGGCAGTTGCATTGACACGTTAGGCTTTTATAAGAAAAATTGGGGATAATTTTATATTTTACCTAAATTGGAATATTTTCAAATTTAACAACTTTCAAACTTCGAAGTTTGGAAATTTAAATATATAGAAGTTTTAAAATTTGCAAATTTTGCAACTTTAGAAATTTGTACACTGAGAAAAGTGGAACCACAGATACTTAAAATGAAAAATTTACAAATTACCAAGCTAAGAAATTTTCAGCCTTGAAATTAAAAAATTAACTACCCCTTACATATTACCCTAATAGACTCTACAATGAATATACACAATATTTATACCTTTCTGACCATAATTGTAGAAACTTGTTAATTAAAAATTTACAAATTTCCAAGCTAAGAAATTTTCAACCTTGAAATTAAAAAATTAACTACCCCTTACATATTACCCTAATAGACTCTACAATGAATATACACAATATTTATACCTTTCTGACCATAATTGTAGAAACTTGTTAATTAAAAATTTACAAATTACCAAGCTAAGAAATTTTCAACCCTGAAATTAAAAAATTAATCATCCCTTAGATACTACCCTAATAAATACTACAATAAAGATACACAATATTTCTGACTATAATTCTAGAAGCTCCTTAATTCTAAAATATAAAAAAAGTTAATACAATTATCACAGTCGCATAAACTTTCAGAAACCTACACATTATCGCATCAGTTTAGAAAACACCTGAAGCGTTCACAGCAGGATTATATGACAGATTTAGCTCGGTATTAAATTATAGTGCAAAATTTGACGAAAGAGGAGGAGTATAGAGATTGATAATAATCCTGAGTACAAATGGTACAAGTTTCTCGGACATTTATCACGCTGTCATCAGTACATATCATCGGTTGTTTCAGACATTAAGTGGAGAGCTTCTATTGTACGCATAGAATGCAAGATTGCATTTAATTTGTTCCTTCGACGTGACTTATTACTAACGCAATAAATTGGCTATAATTTATGTTCATGCATTAAACAATTTCTACTATTTTTATTTATAGCACTTAGTATTATTGTGCTCTTTATAAGTTGTCAAAATAATATTATTAATATTGTAA